GTTGGGAATTTTTTCTGCTATTCTGCAAAATTACTCCTTCGTTGACTAGAATGAATCATTAAATAGAAAATTTTATGAGAATTAAAACAATGTTATTTTTAAGATTAATATGCAGTCAAGAAATTTTATAATTACTATTTACAGTATATTTATCAGAAAAACTCATTATTTTTTTGCCTTTTTATCGTAATAGAACACTTAAATAGAAATCATAATATCATTTCTAAGTAATTTTTGGTATTTAAAAAGATACTACAATTAAAATATCCAGAATTGAATTAATTTTAATGATTTACTTTAACTAAAAAAAAAAAAAGTTCTTATTTTGAATCCCTCTTGTGGGTAGGTAAAGGGTTAGATTTATAAAAAAAAACCAAATGATAGATAAAGACATGCATATAAATAAAAAAAAATTTACTGATTTGGTCATTTTTGATAAAGTTATAACAGTTAACAAAGTTATAAGCTTTATACACTGGACTATAAGGAACTTCCATCAGAAACAAAAATATACTATTCTAAATCAACTTTTCGCGATGTTTTAAAATGTGCAATTAGACTTTTTCTATCACTTCTAAGTTTTAATATTATTAAAAATTAGAATTTATATATAAAAATTCATAATTAAGAACAAAAAAAATTGTTTTAAATTAATACTGATTTGATATAATATTTAATATTAATTTGATTATTAATAAGTTAAAAATAAGGAAAATGACATATTTAACCTATTTTGTTAATCGTTTAAAGTTGATTGTTGTAAATGTTTATAATAAAAAAAAAAAAATTTATTTTACCATAACTTTTAGCTCAATTGGCAAGTTTGACATTGACATCATTAATAGAAAATTTTATGACAATTAAAAAAATTGTATCGTTAAGATCAATATGCAGTCAGAAAGTTTTATAATTACTATTTATTGTAAATTTATCAGAAAAGCTCAATATTTTTTTGCATTTTTATGGTAATAGATAACTTAAATAGAAGTAATAGTAGTAATAATTTCCTAGTAACTTTTGTTCTTTGAAAAGATTCTACAATTGAAATATTGAGAACTTAATTAATTTTAATGATTTACTTTAACTAAATGAACCAATCAAAAAAAGTTGTTAAAAAGATTTACTCAATTGAGTGTATTATAAAATTTTGATTGTATTTGTAAAAATCAATTATTAATCCAGGAGAAAAAATAATCNTCAATTGTTAATTCAGGAGAAAAAACAATCATTTTTTTTAGAAATGATTTATATTGCAACATGTTACCAACAAATTTGGAATACTATAGTCTAGTAGTAGTACACACAAATACAATAAAAAAATTATTAAATTACAAAGTAAAATGATTTAATTTTGTAGTTGAAACCTATTATATCAAACTTCATTCGTTAATAAATATTTTGAAAACATTAGAAATTAATGATTTTAATTGTCTTTATGGAGACGATGTAATAACTAACTGTTTAATTGATAAATTAGAATTTTTTTTTCAATTTTTGAGAGTAATATCTTCAACTAGATACGAATTGTAGTCATTGGACGTATCGTTGAAAAAAGTAGGTCAAGTTAGAGCAGAGAAAATAAATGATAGTCACAAAAAAATATCTTCTCAGCTTTGTATCGAAGCTAAAACTTAAAATATAGTAAAATAATTTTAATACGAATAAGAAATTTCTTCTTACAAAGGGCGACTAAAGTGATGGGATCCTTGATCTTTATTAAAGTTATTGAATCTAAATGAGATAAAAATCAATGCAGTTGAAAATTTATTCTAACTTAAAAAGAATTAAGAAAAAATGCAAAAAATTAATAGCCCTACGCGGGATGGAACCTCGTACCCCAAGCGTGTAAAACACAAGTTTCACATTCTCGGCAACCGTACATTAATACTTATGTTTGAAAAAATTGGCTATTTAAGCTAGTTCAAATTTCAAAGTTATTTTTCTCGACTTAAAAGAAGCAAACAAATTTAAATAAGTTTAACTTTCTATGCTATATTAATTTTTTATTTATATAATATTTATGAAAATCTGTACTCCCCTTGTCAGGTATTTTAAAATAAAATAAAATACAAAACCCAGAATTTTAACACAAAAATAGCAAATTTTTGAATACGGTAGTCATTTTTACCATGAAGACAAGTCTAGAGGTCAAATTTTTTTTTTTCAAATTAAAGTATATTACATAAGCTATAATTTAATATATATATATAAAAGTGTCAGTCTTTCCGGAACATTTTCATAAGTTAAGTTGAAAAAGTTCTACTTTGTATACGCATTTTAAAAGGTTTGCACCCCTCCTGTATAAAGGGAAAAGGTCCGATTTAAAAAAAAAGTATGTCGAATGAAAGAGGTATATATAAAGTACTTATTATTAAAAAATAGAATTGATTCATGCATTTTTTAAAAAAGTTATAGCATCATAATGTTAAAAAATGTAAAATATAATATCAAGAATTTTTTCAAAAAAAATAGCATATTTTTGCATACGGTAGTCATTTTCACCATGAAGACAAGTCTAGAGGACAAATTTTTTTTTTTCAAATTAAAGTATATTACAATAGCTTTAATTTAAGATATATATAAAAGTGTCAGTCTTTCCGGAACATTTTCAAAAGTTAAGTTGAAAAAGTTAATTTTTTGTAAAAAAGTTACCATTTTGAAACCTTTCCTGTGGCCTGTTAAAGGGTCAAATGTTCACAAAAATATATAAAATGATAGGTAAATATCTAAGGTATCTATAAAAAAATTATATTGATTCGGTCATTTTTAAAAAAGTTATGGCAATTTTAAGTAAAAAAAATTGAAAAAATATCGAAAATTAGCGATTTTTAAATTTGTAATTTTTTGGGGGATTTCCCCCGTTTACGGGGAACGAGGGAATTTTTTTCAATTTTTGAGGGTAATGTCTTCGACTAGATACGATTTGTGATCTTTTGACATATTGTTCATCAAAATCGGTCCAGCGAGAGCTGAGATTGAGCGTTCACAG